ATAGGAGACAAGGTATAAGTTCAATTCTAGAGAATCCCTATCAAGGTGACACATTGAAAGATCCTTGTTTGGTTTTGGTAATTGAGTGACAACCTAGGTGGACTAATTATGTTTATGTGAGATACACATGTAATTAGTCCATAGGTACATGTGTGTGAGCAACATATGCCATGAAGGTGAAAATGGCTTAGAGATGTTGCAAAGCTCACACATGTGATGATGAAGGAGCTTAACGCACATGAGACATGACATTGAGTCATGTGATCAAGGTGGAGAAGATCAAGACAAGACTTGGCTTGATGGACCGGTTGCAAACGTGAAGGGCAAGTCGAAGGCTTTAGAGTGATGGACCGCGTGGCGGTGAAGCTTGAGCAAGACTTGGCGCCGATGGACGATGGCAACGGTGAAGGGCAAGTGAAGTCAAGATCGATGAACCAATATGATCACGTGATGATATGAAGTGGATCATATCATTGTTGATAGTGTTGGCGTATGTGTTGCATCGACATTGGAGGAGATGGAATGGAATGCGCAAGGCAAAGGTATAACCTAGGGCATTTCATTTCACCGGTCATAGGTGTGTAGAGAAGTTTATGACCGGGTTTAGGATAGATGGCCGTACTATCAAGAGGGGCAAACTTGTTTGCATATCGGTCATCTAGTGCCACTCGAGTGATCTAACTTTGCATTGTCGCTAGGATCGAGTGGCGTGGCAAGTTGAGTGGCTAATATCCTTTGGGAAATGATTGTGAAAATGCTAACACACATACACATGGTGGTGTACACTTGGTGGTGTTGGCACATTTACAAAGGAGGTGGTGTTTGCAAGTTCTTATGGTTAGCACATTGGAGCAAGGGTGATGAAGATAGAAGTGAAAACGAGTTAGTCGCGAAGATGCTGGCGTCGGTCAACTGACCGGACGCTGGATCTGAATGCACCGAACGCTGGCAGGCTACGTCCGGTCAGGCTGACGTATGATGACGCAGAAGCTGGAGTGTGACCGGACGCTGGCTGCGTCCGATCAAGTGTGACCGGACGTGTCCGGTCGAGGTCGGTACCTTACTGGAAACGACCGGACGCTGGGGGTTTAGCGTCCGATCAGTTGAAAGCTGCTGTGTCCGGTCAAATCAAGTGACCGTTGGAATTAGGACACGTGGCCGTCTGCGGGCGACCGGACGCTGAGGTCCAGCGTCCGGTCAACACGACCGGAGCGTCCGGTCGGCCCGACCGTTGCCCAGTAAAGGGGTAACGGCTAGTTTAGCCCTTGGGGCTATAAATAGAAGTGGCCCTCGGCCATGGCTGGTGCTGAGCACCTAAGGGGACTTAGTGTCCATGCTTATGAGTGTTTAGGAGCCCTCCATCACACATATACTTGATAGTGATCATTCGATTGTGTGAGTGAGCGATTCTAGTGCGATTGCATCGTGAGGTTGCATCAAGTGGCACTAGGTGGTCGTGTTGCAAGCTGGTGGTGCTTGTTACTCTTGGAGGTTGCCACCTCCTAGACGGCTTGGTGGTGGTCTCCGTCGAAGCCCGCAAGAAGCTTGTGCGGCGCTCCAGAGAAGTGCTTGTGAGGGGTACTTGTGCTCGCCCTGCGGGAGTCGCGAAGAGCAACTTTAGTAAAGCGTGTCATTGAGCTACCCTCACTCAAGGGGTAGGTTCTTGCGGTGCTCGACGTGCGGGCTTAGCAGGTGATGCTAATTAGCCGCCGAACCACCAAGTGAGCGGTCGACACAACGGGGACTAGCGTGTTGGCAAACACGTGAACCTCGGGAGAAAAAATCATCGTGTCAACCTTGTTCTTCCCGTTGGTTTGCATCCCCATTACACAAGCTTGCAATTACTTATATATATATCTTAAGCTTGTGTAGTTGCTCTTGTAATTAGATAGCTTGTGTAGCTAGCTAATTACCTTCTTTCTTATGTAGCATAGAAGTAGCTCCCTTGCGTGGCTAATTTGGTTTTAGTAACCTTGTTAGTCACATTGCTTAGTTTGTGTAGCTAAGTATTTGCGCTCTCTAATTAGACGTTGGTTGCCTTGTTATTGAGCATTGCTAGTGAGCTTAGTTAGCTTTGTGCTTTTGCTTACTAGCATGTGCAGGAGCTCCCTTGTTACTTAAAGTACTAGTGGCATAGGTTTGTGTGACCTTGCTCCTAGAATTGTTTAGGAGAGCTCTAGCTAGCCCGGCACCTTAGTTGCTTTATTAGTATCTTTACAAGGTGCTAGTGAACATATATAGAGGGGTGTAGTCTTGGCTAGACCGATTGTTTTAATTCCGCATTTATATCGGTTAGCCGATACGATTAATTTTAGAAAAGACTATTCATCCCCCCTCTAGTCCGCCAACTCGACCTTACACACATGCAACATGAATTTAATGTATTAAAGTTGATAGGAAACAATGATAATCCCATGCTATACTTGCCTTACACAAAGTGCTCCTGCTGTTTCTGCTCGTCAAAGTAATACTCTTGGTCTCCTATGAATTGCTCACCGTCTATACTCGATAATCACGGCAACATACAAGCATCCAGAAACAATCATGCATAGCAAACAAAAGCTATAGATTAGAACAGTACACCAATCAACATAAAATCAAGATGAAAAGTTTGTAAAATAAATCTACGTCTCACTACGAACACACAAACGCGAAGATCATAAAAATCGGAGCTAAAGCGAAGAAGTTATGAATTAAACAAGATTTCCCTTAGTAAAATAATAGATTAAATCTAACCTCGAATTTTAAAATTTGAAAACATACTTAACAGTAGGATGAACATGTAGATTATGCAATTACGAACCTAACGCAAGTTGAACAGATCAAATCAGAGTTGAAACGGAGATTTTATAGCCTACAGAAGGTAGTGGCAATTCTGTAAATAGAGAAAACTTGATTTTTGAATTTAAAATGATCAAAATCTGATTTTAAACCGAGCCAGGGACTGCGGCCACAATTTAAAGATAAGACAGGGGCTCTTTTGAAAGAATACAAGGACGACGGGTTGAGATCTGAATAGTTGTAATGACCCTTTTGCAAAAGTGACCGGCGAAGGGGTATCATTGAATCTGGACCGTTGGATTAGATTTGAGCGGCGCAGATTTAATCGGGCGGGGGAGAGAGAGAGCTAGCCGGCCGGAACAAGATGCCTTATGAACATACCTGTCTAACACCCCCTGTAGTTGAAGCGTCGTCAGCCACTAAGACGGACCTTGAATGAAACCACAAAGACAACCTTCTGACTAGAATGAAACTCGTGAAAACAGAAGATGGAAGATTGTGGTGAATATGTCAACGTATTGAGATGTCAGCACGTGAAGAACATGAAGCGCCCAACGGTGACCTTTTGTCTCGGATAAAGTGTAGATCAATCTCGATGTGCTTCATATGCTGATGCTGCATAGGATTAGTTGAGAGGTAAACTACACTGTGTTGTAACAATATATATACCAATGCAATGTAGCTCGACGAACAGGACAGAAAAGCTCACCCAATAACTGGCGCAACCATGAGAAGCCTCAACAATTGCATTGGCCATAGCCCGGTACTCAGCCTCATCACCAAAACGAAAAACAGGGGCCTGTCTTTTGGACGGCCAAGATACTAGGCTGTCTCCTAGCATTGGCCTATTCATCTACTACTACCTCTATCTGAAAAAATACAGAAAAATCAAACTATTTTAAAAATTTTAGAGTTATAAAAATAATATCAACATTTATATTTCTAAATAGATTTATAACAAAAATATAGTTCATGATTATTGAATAATATTTATTATACATCGCAAATATTTAGTGACTTTTTATATATAATAAAGTTTAAAGTTAAATGACTAATCGTAAACGAGAATTACACTTGTTTTCGGGAATCATTGATGCCAAAAATCATCCATGCTGGCACGTGCGAACGTGACATTTGCCAACCTGTTCGCTTGTTTCATGAGCCGTACTTTTTCAGCGAAGGAACAATGTTTTTCTCTCACAACAAATCAACGAACAGTACTTTTCAGCTTGTCTTTTCAGCAAAACAAATAGGTGGTCCGGAGATATTCTTGTCCCACTGTGTATATATGATATTATCAAGCTCATTACTCTACAGTATTATTACATATACTCCCTCCGGTTTTCTAAAGAATGTCATTTTGGACAGCAACTTTGACCATTACTTTTTGCTATAAAATATTTATAAAATATAGTCTATATATACTTTTATGAAACTACATTTTGAGATGAATCTATTTATATCACTTTCATATTTTGAAACTTAACAAAAAAAAATTATTTGTAGTCAAAGTTTAAAATGTTTGACTTAAGACAACCTCAAAACGACATTTTTTAGAAACCAGAGTGAGTACAGTATTAAATATACAATATACGATACCTATTTTGCTCTGCTAAAAAGAGTACTCCATATATTAAAGTATATCCCTGCCATGACATATACTTTGCTTGGATTTAAGGTTTTGCATTATTGATTGCAATAAGATACTCCCTCGTTTCTAAACTATATGACATTTTAACTTTTCTAGGTACATTATTTTTACTATACATCTAGATATAGTGTACATCTAAATACGTAATAAAAGTTATGAATCTAAAAAATCCAAAATGTCTTATAATTTGGAACGGAGGAAGTAGCGGTACAAGAATCGGGGAATAGAATTTATTTAATTTAATCTGAAAGGTACACTATTGGTAGAATCAGCAATAGCTATGTAGCAATTGGTAAATTTGGTGCACCAACCGTCCAAAAAGAACCGATGTTATTGGATTTTTTATACATACTAGTTGATATGTACGTGCCACACGCACGTGTCTATAAAAATATCAAGACGGATGAGTACAAAAAAATCAAATGTTTAATAATTAAACTCCTATATCACATATATTTATATATGATAATAGACATGCATTATAATCCCCTTTTCTGAAACTCTTTGACATGTGCCCAGGCAGCAACCCTGTCTAAATGATGTTTTTTAGAAGAAAATCATGAAAGTCTCATAGCTTTGCTCTATAAACCCTTGCCACTATATCTGGACGATCTTGTGGCGTTTGACCCAACAATAACTGTTCGACTATTTCATCACAATATGGATTGCATGTCATTGTCACAAAAAAATTTGGTTTTCCATATCGAGTAACCAAAGCCATGGCATCCATAAATCTTGAATGTACATCACGGTCACTTCCTGGAAAATCTTTCGATAGTACAATTCTAAGACCAGCATGTGACGCACGGGCTTCTCTAGCGGCGAGAGTGTCTAGAAGACCCTAGTGAATATGAATTAAAAAAATATTAGTAGTTCCTTTCATATTGAAAATAGAAAAAACAAACATTCTTGTCTCCAGTCCCTTTTTACTCAAAAACATCTAACCTGGTATAGATCAGCATGGATTAGATCTTGATGTGCCGGTTTTGAGTACCAGTCTAAACGCATTAACTCCACTTTCACATACATATCAATGGCCCATTGCTGGAAAAGCCTTCCGCCATGAAACATGATATTAAATTCTCCTTCACGAATCTGTAGCCTGAAACATAGATATTCTCTAGCACTGACGTATCGCCGTGACTCTGTAATTTTTGTTCATAACAACAAATAGATTAAATATCATTCTATATTGAATTTATTGAATTCATTCTATTTTGAATTTATTGAGTGGCTGAAATATATTTTACCTTGTCTATCAGTTACACCTTCATTGTCATTAACATTGCCGTCCCTTTGAACATTTTCTATTAAAACTAACATAATCAATTTGAGAACAACTAATAATGTTTAAAATAGAAAATAATGTTGCAAAGGAAAAAACCTTGATCTTCATGAATATTCATTTCTGAGACATCATTGAGTTCAATAAGCGTTGGGCCTATAGAAAAGTATTAAAATTTGAAATTGGTCGTTAACAAAATTTTGAGTGAAAACTGTTTATGCAGATAACAAAAAAAATCACCTTTTAATACACGTTTAGTATATTTCCTCTTTGGTTTTGATGGAGGTGAGTCTTGATATAATATCTTCTTATCCTCCCAACCAGTTTCACCATTAGGGTTGAAAAGAGGATATGCTAATGGATCATAGCATCCATGGTACGACCTTATATAATGAGGTTGATTTTCTTTGCCATAAATAATTATGCTATGGTCAAACCTTTGTTGTGGGTCATTTCCATCAAACCGTATAGCAGCAACTTGTTCCCTTGCAGGCGCATTATGTCTTCTCTAGTCAACAGAAATACTTGTATTCAGCGCAATAGTGTAGCAATCCAAGTTGGTAAGAGTGCCAACACTCTTAAATACTTGAACATATGGATTCTCTTGCATGATGTCCAATATAGTGTGGATCACATGAGCATCAAGGTGTGGAGACCTTTTGATCCTATGATGCATAGTCTCATCTGTGTCATAAAAGTACAATTGCATGTGCGTGGTTCCCGAACACCAAACACAAGTTGATCCAACTTGTGATATATTTGGCCATGAGCTTTAAATGTATAAATACCAGTACCCTTTGTTGTTGCCAAACTACGATCAATGGAAACCCCCATACTGGTGAAAGAAAAGTGTGAATTGAAGTAACGAATGTTTCTACTAAAATATTTTGCATCCCAATCAGTTTGACTTGTGAACAATCGACAAAGTTCATCTAGCACCTCTGGATAAATATATTAACCCGTCCGTTCCGACAACAAAATGCAGGACCTTCACCTTCAAACCTCATTGCGCGACAATAAAAACAGTTTTGCACTTTTTTCAATACATGATGGGTCTTAGGAAGATTCGCATACACAAAGTCAAAAGGATCTGGGCAATTTGGTATTGACATAGGTTCTTGATAATATTCATAATTGAAATCTGCATATATATTGAATCTTTATTCATTTGTCCTGCAAATTCATCTTTTAGGAAAATTAAGAGTGCATAAGTGAAGGTGAAAACCTTTGTCGTTAAATACTCTTGCTTCATCATCCTCATAAATGTTTGGTAGATCTTCTTCAGGTTTTTGTTGATCTAAATCATTTTCTGTTGCAAGAAGTTATTTGCTTTCAATATATATTAATAATGCAATTTAATGTGTTTTCATGTTGAACAATGTTTTAAAGAGCAATTTTTTTTACCTTCTATTCCATGCATTGGATCTTCTGGTTCCCAAATACCAGAATCAAAATCTTCATTGGAATTGCCAACTTGTACTGAAAATTTTAAAATATTACAAAAAAAATGTTAAGTGAGCCAACACAATAGATAGCTTATTGATTTAATGGAAAGTAACATACGACTTGCTGGCAGTTTTTTAGAACGGTAACAATGTTGGTACTTGCGCTTTCTGGATAGATATTGCTCCTTATCAACACCAGAAAGTAATGAATATCTTTCCCCGTTCTCGTTGCCTCTTCATTTCTGATGATTGGACCCGAAATTTATCCCCTTTTCTGCATCTTTATCATTACACTGCACACCAGTATGTTCTGTTTCACACTTCAGTGTGTTCTGCTTCACATCTATAACATATAATAGTACTACAGTAATATTTCAAATTTGAAATCAAACCTATGTTGTTTGCTATCATCATGTTTGGATTAGGATGATGTTCTTAATTAGCACTGGCCTTAGCCCTTAACTTTGCACGATAGTTACGTTGATATTCCCAATTTCCAGCCCGTCTTTCGGCCTCTTTATCATTAGACTACACACAAGAATGTTTTGTTTCACATTGCAATATATTCTGTTACACATTTATAACATATAATAGTATTGTAGTAACATAATTTAAAATCAAACCTGGTTGCTTCACTATTATCAATATATTCTGTTACACATTTATAACATATAATAGTATTGTAGTAACATAATTTAAAATCAAACCTGGTTGCTTCGCTCTTATCCCGCTAGGATTAGTTTTTTTTGTTACCATCAGCCTTAGCCCATAACCGTGCACAATAGTTACGCTGATATTCTCGGTTTGTAGCCCATCTTTCAACATCTTTATCACAATTCATTACATCAGTAGCTTGTGCTTCACGTTTCCTTTTACATCCTATTGAATTTATATTCTCCAAGCCGACTTCATCCTCTAACAAATATTCGAAAAGGTTAATTGATTTTGAAATAAATATTCCCAATAGACTAATTTATAAAAAACAAATAGCATAACACCTTGAACATTGCCATCTGATGTTGTGGTCAGATTACCATCTTGTCTTGTGGCCGAAGCCATAAAAAGGTTTAGGTTGTCTTGTTTATATTGTTAATATGGAGCACTGCAATCAATGAATTTTAAAGCAATGGTGAAACAAAAAATTAAAGATAAATGCATAAACTGGAAATATATTATAGAGCCAAGCGACAAAAATTTAAGGAATTGAGGTTTAGTTGCAACTTGCAAGACGGAAAATAGATTACTTTTTAGAAACAAGCAGTTGAAAGAGAGGTACATCCAATTGAAGTTTAGTTGCAACTTGCAAATCGGATAGGAGTAGATTACTTTTTAGAAATATGTAGTTGAAAGAGTGCAACTTGCAAGTCGGATAAGAGTAGATTACTTTTTAGAAATCTGTGGTTGAAAGAGAGGTCAGAAAGAGTAGATTACTTTCTACAAATCTGTAGTTCAAAGAGAGGTCATAATAATTTTATAAACATGCAACACATATTATATTAATCCTCTTTTTTTAAGATCGTAATCAATCTTTATTTATTAGATCATATCAACACAAAAAAAATTATACCTGCATTAATCAATCTTCTGATGTCTCAGATAAAGAGCTATAGGTGTCCGGCAGGTCGGCAGCTACAGACTGAAGGTGGCACCGGCCGCTGGGGACCCGCAGATGAAGCTGCCGGTGGACACGCGTTCATGGCGCGTGCTGTATGCGGAAGCTCGGAAGGACGCGCTGACTCTGTGCCGCGGGAACCTGACGACCATGACACCGGCGACAGATGACCACGTTAGGACAAGGTGATTGATCACGTTAGGACAAGGTATTGATCAGGAGATCGGACTATATGGGAAACGTGGGCCTCCGTCTGCCCGTGTGCGTGATGTTAGAGGTGTGGGCGGGTAGACTTTTGTTTCGGTGAAAAAAGACAGCAAACGGCGACAGAATTGTATGGCAGGAACCTAAGAATCTTAGGTTTTGTAAAATGTGGCCCACTTGATAGGAGGTAATGACGTTTAGTATCCCTTGGATCTAGATCTCAAATCACATCTAAGGGTTAAAACATAGGGTGGGTAGGAATTTCCAGGTAATATGTATTTTTTAATTTTTTCGCTCTTTTATAGTATAGATATAGATATAGATTAGTGGAGGAGAGAAATAGTTTGTTAGAGAAGATTTCTTTAAAAAGAGGGATGTTCTGGTTAAGTTTTTCAATTAAAGTGGGTTGCATGGAGCCGCCACGTAGAAAAAGTGAACGCCCAATATGAAAAAATGTAAGTTTTTTAAGAATAAAGAACACTTTTTTTAATAATAGAATATCAAGTGTTTTTCGAACAGAGGGAATAGTATAGTAGTAGCATTTGGCCATTTGGGTAGAAGGGCAGAACCAGCATGCAGCCTGATCTACAGACGCTTGACGCGTCGACTTATAGACGGCGGCGGCGGCGGCGCCAGAGAGACGCCATGCATGGCGACGGATGCGACGTCCTCCCTGCCTCTCTGGCTCTCTGCGACGACAATGACACGACGGCTGGTAGACAGATCGTTGGCTGGCTGTTGGCTGTTGCATCGCTCGCTCCCTACAAGAACACGACGTCTCCACTTCGCCGGCCGCCCGGCAGACTCGCTGTCATCCATCGGGCTCATATCGCTGAGACCAAGAGGCCAATCTTCATTATCTTCCGTTTCTACAATGCTTGATAGTGTATTTGCTAAGATCTGCGGCATCAATAATTTCGCCTCTACACTACAATCTTCATGTTTCTAAATTTCTACCTCCAGTTATATATCTTGTGATTCAAGTATTTGCAGTTCTTCAGGCGTCATGTACCGCTGTACTGAAAGATTAACTTTTTTACTCCAGCTTTTCTTTCAGTTACTAATACTTTATATATCTCTGAAAATTTCAGCCTACTACGGTGAGAAAAGAAAAAGAGAAGATGAGTTGGTAGAATTCCAAAAAAAGATACACTGATAATTCTTTTTAAGAGTACGAGCACTCTTAAAAATCCAAACGAATTGGTAATAGTTGCTAGAGAGAAACAAACTAATATTAATTTAGATGTTTTAGAAAATATAATGTGTATAAATTATTTGATATGAATATATTATATTATTTTGGATGCATTTTAAGTGCGGAAACGCTCCTTACAAGGTGTCCTTCCGGACGGACGGACCCCGAACTCGCCCGCGCCGCCCCCGCTCGCGCCCGCGCCGCCCGCCCGCGCCACACACGGCGAGCCCAACGCGCTCGGTGCTCGCTCTCGGACTCACACCTCCCATCACGGTCGTGCTCCATCCGCCTGCCCCTGCCCCTGCCGAGGTCCATGCCGCCGTCGAGCTCCACACAGGCGACCTCCGCGCCACTCCACGGCTTCAAGCTCCGTGCAGGCATCGAGCTCCGCGTCGACGAGCATCCATTCGTCCAAGCAGCAATCAGATGCTACGCTGAAAATGCATGTTGTAATAGTATGTTTCAGATGTTTTCGAGGTATGTTGCAAGTGTTGCATATCGATGTTACAAAAGTAGATCAGGATGTTGCATATGTTGTAATAGCTATACACGTATGTTTCGAGTGTATGTTCCAAATGTTTCATCTTTCATCTGTTCCAGATGAATGTTGCAAGTGTTTTGTCCGGGTGTTGCAACATACATGCATGTTGCAAGCATATATTTCAAGTATTTTCAGGTGTTTCATACGTATGTTTGCAAGTGTTTCATCTAGATGATGTTGCATATGTTTGCAATAGTTTTCAAATGTTTTTAGGCGTTTTCGCAAGTGTTTTAGACGCTTGTTTCAAGTGTTTCATCTATCTTATTTTGTATGTTGCAACTGATGCATTTGGATGTTTCAAAAGTTGATCGGGAGTTGCACATGGATGCGCGTGGGAAACACGCGGGCCCACTAGTGATACGCTCCCTCACGAGTCTAACGTGCTAGGCACTCATTCGCTCCCCCGTGCGGGTAGCTTCCGTACGCTAGTGCCAGGATCGGACGTCCGGGCGCTAGCAAGTCCGTTTTAAGTGTGAAAGCATCTAGGCCTCTAGTTGGGTTTCGGTGATTAAGGACAATACGAGATTACTATGACTAACGTGTATTTTACAGATGCAATTAAGTTAGGTCATGGTAATGGCAATTGATTGGGCAATCATGGTTGTCATGCCCCTACGATGGAAATCATTTCGGTTTTCAAAGGATGGACGACAAGGTTAAGGATGGACTAGTTCTAAGTGTCGTTTGGTGTTGAAGAGACACTTAGAGTAGTTTAGGACTTTATTTTTCCTTTGGCCATACTATTAAGGGGGGTATGGACTAGTAGCTTGACCTAGGTGAGTCTAGTGGGTTAGGTGTGATTCACACTTGTCAAATCTAGCACTAGGTAGCTCCAAAGAAGCCCTAAGATCAATTGGAGCAAACTTCATTCATATATGATTTCGAGTTGGAAGTGAATGGAGGGTCAAATGATTGACCGGACGCTGGTCTGGTTGTGACCGGACATTGAAGGGTGAGTCTGGTCAGTTTATTTGATCAACTGGAGCCGTCTGGTTGCGACCGGACGCTGAGTGAAAAGTGACCGGACGCTGGGTGCCAGAGTCCGGTCAATTCCAGAGAGGTTCTAGAGAGGGAGATTCCTGATTGGACACGCCCGGTCAGTGCTGACCAGACGCTGGTTAGGATTCGGTAACTTCACCGCCGCGCTCCTTGCCCGCACCGCCTGCCTGCGCCTTCTCCTCGCGCCGCCTGCCCGCGCTGCCCGCTTGCGCCGCCTGCTCGTAGCTGCGCCTCTGCTCCGCGCGCCCGTGCCTCTGCTCTGCGCACCATTGCCCTAGTACCGCCGCGCCCGCACCTCTGCAGCACGCGCCCATGTCAGCGCCGACATCACCAGCGCCACCATCGCTGTGCCTACATTGCATTGATCGGCCTCCGCATCGCAACTCTAACCCTAGACGTCTAATTGCTGATTCCGATGGTGCCCGTGATCCATTCCTCTGCTCTTCGGTCGTCGATTCATTAGGTACTAAGCCATCGCCTCTAATTTCGTATCCATTGCTTGCTTCCTAGGGTTTCGTATCTCTAGATGTATATTGTAATTATTCATATATTCGATTTATTCTATCGTGCAGTGAGTCGGTGTTTTTGAGGTTGCCTTGGTAGTTGTCAGTTAACTCAGGGCCAAGCCCGTGAGTCCAGCTAGGACATCGTGTCGCTTTAGAGGAGAGTCAGCCTCAGGAGGAGCCATAGCAGCAGACACAACCATCAGTGGTCAGAGGATACTCAGCAGGCTGAGCAGACTGAGCAGGTAGAGTAGACCAAGGAGACAGAGCAGGCACCTTAGCTACAGTTACAATGCTCTAGTCGTACTCGTGCTCAGGTGACATCAAGGCCTAAGACACAGAGGAGGGGTTCTCGTCCGCCTCCTAGATCACAGGGTCTGCTCCCAGTGACTCACCTTGACTTAAGGGCAGCCACAGCCAAGCAGGTGTAGCAGCTCTGTTTTGTGCAGTTTGAGGACTGGTTTTTGCCGAGGAGGGATGAGCGTGCTTCAGAGCACTTGTATATACCACTGCAGGAGGATTTCTATCAGGCATATCTTAACAGTAGAGTTGCTTTCAGATCATAGAGGGTTTGCTCTATTGAGGCACTTGTAGCAGTAGTAGGTGAGCAAATTCATCCCCATCTATCATATCTACCAGGGTTGATAGATCTACTTGGACGGACTGGCCGATATGTTCCATCATGGGTCTGTGAGTTCTACTCTTCACTTTGGATTGACCCGGGCCACAGGTTCATACACTTTGCATTCAGAGGCCGTGACTACAGGCTAT